TTTTTGTTATTACACAACATCGACTTGATTAGTAAAATAATGACTTTTTATATCACCGGAGTTATTCAATTATTTTCACCGATCATCAGGTGAAGCGATACTTTTTTCCAGTAACTGTATATACAAACTGTTACAACACCCAAAACTATTATCATAGGAAAATAAAATGATTTAAATGAAACCAGTAAAAAAAAATTTTTATTTGTTAAACTGGTTGACTGAAACTTTTACAATTAAATCTCTGTAATTGGCCTGAACTATAAGACAAAATATAACATGTTGATATCTAAATAATTAGTGATTGATCATGTCATTAAAATAAAAATAATGTTTTCTCACAACAATAAAAACTGATGTAAAATTCCAATAATCAAATGAGTGAAATTTATTTGTAGGTCTAAATTTCTAAATCCATTTGGTTAGAATCTATAAATATGATAATTTATAACATAATAAAAATAATGTGGTTGCCATTATTATTACTATAATATATGTAATAATTGTGTTGATGTTAAATTTTAAAATCAATAATCAAATAATTACCATTAATATTATCTAAATCAATTTGATATTCTGTAAATGTGATAATTTATAACATAATAGATAATATTAATGCTGGTATTAAATGAATTTTAAAATTAAATAATTGATGATAATTACCAATATTGTTGCTGATGATTGTAACTTTATTGGAGTTTACAGGTTGTGGAAGATTTGTAAAATTGAATAATCTACTTGTATAAATAGCATTTGGATGAACAGTTGCAGTAATTGTTGGAAGGTTAAAGGGCTTTTTATCTGCTTCTTCAAATATTTTTCTTATTTCTTTTAATTTATTTTTTTTAAAATAATACTTGGAATCATCATATGCAACTGCATCTTTCCAAAAAGTAATAATTTTTAAAATTTCATTTGCTGTTGGTCTTTTTTTAGGATCAGCATCTGTACATTTGTATGCTAACCTAATATAACATTCTGGAGTATTGTCTGAAAAACTAGGTCTTAAGCCATTACAGATCTTTATAGCAAGATCTATATCATGTGGTTGATCTTCAAATGGCTGTTGATGTGTTGATGTTTCTGACATTAAAATCCCAAAGCTATAGATGTCAGATTTTTGGGTATAAGGTTTCTTATTTAATACCTCTGGTGCAATATATGGTAGTACTCCAACTATATCATTTTTACTTGATATTTCTTGATCAGCTGGGCCTGATAACCCTAAATTTGTAATCATTGCCTGGTGTAAATAATTAAAATATAAAATATTACCACTGTGAAAATCACCATGTGTAAGTTTTTCTTGATGAAATGTAAATGATATCATAAAGTATATTAATTTTATCATTCCATCCTTTCTGGTTTGCATAATTTGATTTTAAATATTTTTAAAAATCTCCTTCAACTGCATATCTCATTACAAAAACATATTCTTTTGTATTTGGATCTTGTGAAATGCCATAAATATTAACAACACCCTTGCGATAAGGTCCTATAAATTTAATGTGGTTTTGAAGCTTTATGAAAATCAATAAAAATTTAATATATTATTTAAAAACCATCAATTAATTATCAATTAATTATATCAAATTATTTACCTCTTTTAAAAACTCTTCAGAAATGTCTTGAGAATTTTTAACCTTTTTTAATGCTACATGACCACCTTTGCAATAATATCTTGTATTTTTGTAAACATATCTAGGACCATTTGACCAATTACACTTATGCACAATTGCAAAACCACCTTCACCTATTGCTTCTTTAACTGTGAGTTAGTCATAAGGAATCCACTCAAGGTAATGATAACTATCAAATCCTTTTGCTTCAAGCTGTGTGTTTCTGATTATTTCATCTAATTTATTATTACCACTGCTAGTCCAACTTTGAGCTAACAATTTGGGATCACATGATTGACACCACTGGTAATTAGTATTATATCTTCTACAAACAGAACAGGTTCCATATTCTTTTTTCCCATTTTTAAACTCCTTAGTGTTATCTTATTATTTCATAAAAACAAAATAAATTTATTTTTCAACTTAATTAAAAGTTATAAAAAAATTATATTTATAAATTATTTTACCTTCAGTCATAATTATTATAATACACAAAAAATAAATTTATATATTTAGACAAGGTTTTGATAAAATTATAAAAGTTATTTTATATATAATATAACATAAAATTTACCAGCTGTTATTATGAAGAAATAAGAAATATTTAATTAAATGATGCTATGAAAATTTATTTTATGCTGTAAAAATTACTTACATGCTGGTTATCATAAAGAAAAATAAATTTAATAATTAGTTGATGTTTTAATAAAAATTATTTGTAAAAGTTTATGATATGATACTTACTTCCTGATTATTATAAAAATTTATTATTAGACAATGTTGTAATAAAATTTATTTTGTGTTATATTACTTACCAGCTGGTTATTATAATAAAAAAATAAACTTATTGATTAGATATAAAAATTATAAAAGTTGATTTATAATGCAATAAAATGCTTACTAGCTGGTTATTGCAAAAAAATAAAAATGAATTTTAGTTGATGTTTTAATAAAATTTATTTTATGTTATGTATAAGAGCATAATACTTACAATCTGGTTATAAAAAAAGTAAAAATAGTATTTATTTAATTAGACAATGTTTTAATAAAATTTAGTTTATAAAAAGTTGGTTTATAATATAATACTTACAATCTATAAATAAAAAATAAATTTATTTAATTAGATGATGTTGAAGATAAAGTTTATTTTGTGTTGTAAAAGT